GGCCAGCATGGGATAAAATCCGTCCGAACCGGATGACCCCGGCGTACTTTTCGGTTTCTCAGTTTTTTCGCTTTCCTCCTCCTCCCCGAAAACTACGATGTCCCATTTTGTCAGTGTTATTTAACTGTTGGGCCGTTCCTGCGAATAACCCCGATCACCGGTAACATAAGATAGGGCTACATTTCCACCTAAGATGCAGTTCGGTGGATAGTGAAAAATAACGCCTTTGAATGAAAGAAAAGACTGGGACAACATAACTAACGAAAAATATAAAAAGAGAAATAGAAAGTGGGAGATAAATACACATACACATACATACAGAGAGAGAGAGAGAGAGAGAGAGAGAGAGAGAGAGAGAGAGAGAGAGTGTGTGAAATGATGAATGTTGGAGTGAGTGCGGTGTTCAATCCTTTTTTTTTTTTTTAAAGATAGTTCCTACTCACTAGAGGATTTCTACAACCACCAAAAGTTTTGCAATTCATTCATCAGATTGTAGAAATCCTTCAACCTGATGATGAGCTAAGGGCTCGAAATCGGGACCGTTGGAAAACAACTTACTGTGCGTAGGAACTATTTTTTTTTAAAAAAGGATAGAAAGATAGATAGTTAGAGAAAATAGATGGGTATTTAGATACATACAAGAGTGGAAAGAAATAAAGGATAAGAAGATAGATATGTAATTGACAGAAAGAGAAGGAACGAATGAATGAATTAATGCGATTTTATTTAATGTTGCATACATTCAAAAGGGAAAAGAAAAGATGGATATGGAGATATATAGATGGATAAATAAATAGAATAAATAAATTAAATAGCTTCATAAATAGATAGACAAACAGGTAGCTAGATAGTTAAATACATAAATAGATAGATAGATAGAGTGAGAGAGAGAGAGGAGTGAGTGAGAGAGAGAGAGAGAGAGAGAGAGAGAGAGAGAGAGAGAGAGAGAGAGAGTAAGAGAGAGTGTGACAAAAGATAGATAGTCAGAGAAATGGATAGATAAAGGTATAATAAGGAAGCATGGATGAAATGATGAAAAGGCAGACTAAGAGGGAGAGAGCAAAAGAGAGAACGAGAGACAAAATGAGAAAGAGAGAGAGACAGTGAGAGAGAGAGAGTAAGAGAGAGTGTGACAAAAGATAGATAGTCAGAGAAATGGATAGATAAAGGTATAATAAGGAAGCATGGATAAAATGATGAAAAGGCAGACTAAGAGGGAGAGAGCAAGAGAGAGAACGAGAGACAAAATGAGAAAGAGAGAGAGACAAAATGAGAAAAAGAAAGAGAAAGTGAGAGAGTGTGAGAGACAAAATTAGAAAGAGAGAGAGAGAGAGAGAGAGAGAGAGAGTGATATATAGACGAACAGATAAACGGTCAGAGATATAGGTAGATAAAACGATAATATGGAAGCATGGATGAAATGTTGAAAAGGTAGACTAAGAGGGAGAGAGCAAAAGATAGAACGAGAGACAGAACGAGAAAGAGAGAGAGAAATATTAGGAATATTTAGAAATAAAAATAGAGAGACAAAATAATTCAGTAAAATTGAGGTAGTCTATCCTACTATTGGTATTTTATATTTTTATGCAGACAGAATCAAACGCACACAACACACGCACACGCTCGCGCAGAGTTGTTTCATAAATTATTAATAGGTCAATAGCTCGATTTGCAGATTAGGCATTTAAACCGCTAATTTTTTTCAACACTTCCACAAATGTATAAAGAGAACTCAACAATCAATGAATTCAACTACGAATGGGGAAAGTGATATGAAAATGAAAAGCAGTTGTCACGCAAATACGCACGAACCAATTAAACAGACCACTTCTCACGGAATCACGAAAGTGTTATATTACAGAGGTAAAATTTAACTTGAGTAAAAATATAAATACGATATTTTCACTTTTTGAGCCTTCTATAAAGGCAGGTGAATGTAAAAATTAACGTGTGGTGATTAGTGACCGTTAATCGATAATTATTTAGAAATCGTGAGATGCGGTCTGGTGTGATGTAGGTTTCAGAAAAACATTTTCTTTATCGTGCCAACGTTTCGAACTGTATTGAGATCATCTTCAGGGCCTGGGATTTACAAACATTGTTTCCATTTAACAAATACATTTTGGATGTGGAAAAGTGAATTTATACCCAGGCCCTGAAGATGATTTCAATAATGTTCGAAACGTTGGCTCGATTAAGAAAATGTTTTTCTGAAACCTACATCACACCCGACCGCATCTCACGATTTCTAAATAAGTAAAAATTAATTAACTAATATATTTGGTTTTTAATTTTTTCAGGTTGTTTGATATATTTTTGTTTAAATCATAATAATTTTTTTATTGTATACAATTATTTATTTCAATTTAATATTCAGACTATTGTTCATGGGAAGATGAGGAAATGGCATCGTTTGACGGACATTATCTGCTCGTTGGTTATCGCAGTCCATGGCCGACGCTTTTCATCACAATCGACTAGGAAGACAATCGAGTCTGTCGCTTTGCAGCTTGGCAGACTGTCGTCTTTTGTAATCGGCTGACCTTTGGTGCAAACTAGCACGTCCATGCCGTATGAATATTTATGATTCGAACCATTACAAACGCCCAGGAAAGTCGTTATCTTCTGGCCATCTGGAGACATTCGCAAGACGGAGTTAAACTTAGAAGTACGTTCTATGATGGTAATAACCAGCTAATAATTTCAGATGCTAAGTTAAACAAACAACAGGGACGTTATTTAGTTATAAATTGAAAAATCACAGTATTGTTAAAAATTAGCACCTTAGAGAATCAAGAACTTTTTCTTTTCTTTACTTAAATAAACTATAAATTAACCAAAAATCGTATTCTGTAGACATAAAGAACAAAACTACGAAAGATCTACTAAATTTACTAAAGTTGGAAATGATATCACCTCAAAAGTGTAAAACTATTAACATGCTTGTTAAAAAATAATTACCTTCAATGGTATATTAATTAGTATCTTATTGAGGCTACTAGTATTCTTTTAACATAATATTATCTCAAATTATCCAATTGGAAGAAACTAATAAAATCATTGAAGTCATCAAACTCATAAAATATGATGTCCAAAGTCCGATGTCGAAATGCGCATTAGATTGATAAACAAGAACTTTGAACATTTCACTTAGATTTGGAGATAATCAGCAAAAGTATGTTGCTGCAGAACAGATCATATAGATAGGAAACAGAATAGAAGGGAGCCGAAGACGGAGCCCTGTCGAACCACCCACATCACTGGCGACTCGGTTTCTCCATCATCGCGTGGGAACACAAACTAATTCATTACTGAACAGGAGAAACCAAGGATAGGCATTTTTTACAGAAAGATAACATGGTCAAACCTATTGAAACCATTCTTAAATCAAAACCTCTAGTACAGTCACTTTGGATTACCAATTTCAAAATGTTTCATACTGACATAACCTTCAAAATATTGAATTTTTACAACGTTAAAAAGTAATAACCCTAAATAATCTATTAGTTACTAACATGCTCAAAAATTCTTCAACGTTTAATTATTCAGATATCGTGAGATGCGGTCGGGTGTGATGTAGGCTTCAGAAAAACATTTTCTTTTACGTGCCAACGTTTCGATCTTTTATTGAGATCATCTTCAGGGCAACGTTTAATGTTCTGTTGCAAACGTTAAAAAAGTAACTTCGAGGATTGTGGTGAAAAAGTAATCATTTCAATGTGCCATTGTAACTTAATGAGGTTACAACCTCCAAAAATGATTTGAGATTCAGAGTTATAACCTAAAACAATGAAACAGTTCTCCCCAGTTGTGGGTAAAATGTAATACTTTCAAACAAATTAAGTTAGTAACATAATATTGGTTATACCTTCGTTATTTAATAAGATTTATAGCCGGAAATATAATCTTACAATATCTCAACTTCTAATATGTAGGTACGTCAAATAATAATAACCTGAAACAATAGTAATTAGTAACTTTTGCAAGTTGGAATGGTTACACTTCAAAATGTTTCTTACTGACATAACCTCCAAAATATTGAAGTTTTAGAACATTTGGTAAAAAGTAAATCTTAAATTATCTATTAGTTAGTAACTTGTTCAAAAATTCTTCAAGATTCAGTGTTCTGTTGGAAACGTTAAAAAAAAGTAACTTCGAGGTTTGAGGTGAAAAAGTAATTATTTCAATGTGTCATGGTTAGTAACTGAATGAGGTTATAACCTCCAAATTTTGGTTATACCTTCGTAAGTTAATAAGATTTATTGCTAGAAATATAATCTTATAATATCTTAACTTTTAATATGTAGGACCATCAAATAATAATAACATAAAACACGGTTTCACCTCAAAATGTAAAAGGTGTATTAGGTTTGTTAAAAAATTATAAACTTGAACAAAAAAGTAGATTTTAACAAGTTTATAACCTTAAAACGTTTACAGTATTGATTTTGAACGTTATTACCTTATACGTATTACACTTAGAGCAGATTAGATTATAAATTTGAGTAAAATATAAAAGGATTTCTATAACAATAACTGAAAAAGTCAAGTATGAGTGATACAATGAGGTTATAACCTCAAAAATCTGGCTAGCGACGTTATAACCTTATAATTTTATCGAAGAGAAACTTAAGAGTTTCAAAACGGTGTGGAAGCAACATTTTTGAACAAAGTAACTACTAACCTTAAAAAACCGTCCGATTTGTTCTAAAGTTAGTTTTGTGGCAAACCGATGACCCTGAAGCTTTCATCCGACCTTATCAATTTAATATATTTTATGAATAATTGTGCAAGCTGTCTCTACTTTGTACCATGGCATTGATTATTTAACAAAGTATCAGGGTTTCGGTTGTAGAAAAAAAAATCTTCAGGATAGCAATTAATTGAACTTTCCTTTCTTGTGGTCTTGGTTGACCGATCTGACTTATCGACCAGGCATTATTAATATATTTTACGATCTAAATCAACAATCCGGTTATGAATAAGCGTATTTAACTCACCCATGTCAACAACACATGGAGTCATGGTCCCCCTCGCTGTAACCGGCGCTTCTCCTGCATATGCTATTCTCGTCTTAACTCCGACAATGCCAAGTCGATATCGCGAGGTTGGAAGCAGAAACTTTTTCTATCGATTAGGACTGTATTAAAAATGACCTATTTCCCTCCTGAATCCGTCGCGTTCTATTCTTAAATAGTTGGCTTTCAACTGAACAGAGACTGCGACTCTAATAAGCGGCACGTGACCGCCTAAGGTCGAAAATTTCTTTTCTTTGCTAAATGAGAGGCCTATTTATCAAACGAACAATCCTTTCAACCCTTCCTTCTTGAAAGCGTTATACTAACCTTGAGATCTAACAGATTTAATGTCTAATCGTACAAAGAAATTAAGGAAAATTGCTATTTCTAACTAGGACAAATTGCAGAAAAATAAAAGCTACTCAAAGTGTTAGTTACGTCACTTCAAATACACCAACCTTCAAGTTCAATTTAAATTTCTACTCACTCTCTTTCTCGCTCCTTCACACCCTCTCCTTCTCATTCATACTATCCTTCTTGTTCTATTTAGAAAACAATATCATCTATGTTTTTCTCTCTCTCTCTCTCTCTCTCCCTTTCTCACTCTCACTATATATATGTGTTTATTTTTCTATCTCTGTCCACCTATCTACCCATCTTCCTCTAACTTTCTCCCACAAAACTCTCTCTCTATTTTCTTACCCAGAATCCCTCTCCCTCTCAAACATATTCTACCTCACTTAGTATCACTTTTTTCCTATTTTCCTTCTTCGTTCTCAACTCTTCTTTCCTCTCTATGCATCGATATATACAGGGTGAATTGCTACTCGTGCTACAAACTTCTCCAGTAGATTCTTCACCCTAAAATGAACAAAAAAGTTCATATTGTCCATGGTCCGATTCTCAACCATTTCAGAGTANCCAGCCTAGGCCAACTTGGCCTCCGTTAACTTGTTCAGCGTAATAAGTTACATGCTTCAACTTGGAATTGGGATTTGTTGGTGTTATTGCTTTATTATAATCGTGCAATATTGCTGGTATAAATTGTGAAAAGAAAATTAAGAGTTCCTATATATATATATATATATATATCTTTCTTTCCATTTCTACCAATAACTATCTCTCCATCCCTATCAGTCACTCTCTCTCTTTCTCTCCCTCTCCATAACCATTTCCCTTTCTCTCACAAATCTCTCTCTCTCTCTCTCTCTCTCTCTCTCTCTCTCTCTCTCGCTCTCTCTATCAATACATTCTGTCTTTTTTTCTTTCTTCTTTCACTATACTCCCTTTCCCTTCCTTCCAATCTCGCTCTTTCTTTTTTCTCAACATCTCGCAAAACACTCTCTCCATTCCTCTTTTTCTTTCCTCCCTCTCTCTTTGGTATTTTCCTTTTATCCCACTAATCTTTCTCTCTCTTTATTTCTATATATCTATTTCATGTTTTGTCTCACTTCCTCTCACTCTTTTATTCATATTCTCTTTCCTTCCACTTACTTTTCTCATGCCCTACTTTTGCTCCCATTTCATATCTCTATCTCTCTCTCCTTCCCTTTTCTATCACAAAACTCTCTCCCCAACTTTCTTTTTCTTTTATCTCTATTTCTCTGGACGAGGATTCCAACAATATTATTACAACGCTCTTAAGAAATTAACCTAGCACTGTCAACTCGATGGACGCCACTTGGCGCTCAGTGATGAAAGCCCAAGAATCCAAGAAGCCATTTTTTGAAGAAACATAACATGGTCAACCCTATTGAAAGCCGTCTTAAATCACAAGCTCTAGTACAGTGACTTACCCAATTTCAAAATGTTTCATACTGACATAATCTTCAAAATATTGAAGTTTTACAACGTTTGTTAAAAAGTAATAACCCTAAATAATCTATTAGTTACTAACATGCTCAAAAATTCTTCAAGATTCAGGGTTCTGTTGGAAACGTTAAAAAAAGTGACTTCGAGGATTGAGTATTGAAAAAGTAAAAATTTCAATGGGTCATAGTTAGTAACTTAACGAGGTTATAACCTCCAAAAATGATTTGAGATGCAGTTATAACCTAAAAAAAGGAACAGTTCTTTGTGGTTAAAATGTATTACTTTTAATTAAATTATGTTCGTTATAACTTCGTAATTTAATAAGATTTAGTGCTAGAAATATAATCTTATAATATCTTAACTTCTAATATGTAGGTCCGTCAAATAATAATAACCTCAAACAATAATAATTAATAGCTTCTGCAAGTTGGAATGGTTACACTTCAAAATGTAAAAGGTTTATTAAGTTTATTAAAAAATTGTAACCTTAAACATTAAAACATTTTCTTTATCGTGCCAACGTTTCGATCTTTATAGATGCTTTTCTGAAACCTACATCACACCAGACCGCATCTCACGATTTCCGAATAATCATCGACTAACCGTCACCAATCATCACCACACACCTAAACATTAAAGTAGATTTTAACAAGGTCATAACCTAAAAACGTTTACAATATTGATCAAATATTTTGAACGATATTACCATATACATATTTAACTTAGAACAGATTAGATTATAAATTTGAGTAAAATGTAAAAGGATTTCTGTAACATTAACTGAAAAAGTCAAGTAGCAGTAAGTAGCAAAAGTAAGTAGCACAATGAGGTTATAACCTAAAAAAGGTTTTATACTAGTCTAGGGACGTTATCACCTTATAACTTTATTGAAGAGAAACTTAAGAGTCTAAAAATGGTGTGGAAGCAACTTTTTGAAAAAAGTAACCACTAACCTTAAAAAACTTGGCATTTTAGGTTTGTACATCAATTGTGATACTGCAAGAAATCTGTCCGATTTTTTCCAAAGCTATTTTGTGGCAAACCGTAGACCCTGAACCTTTCATCTGACCTTATCAATTTAATATATTTCATGAATAATTAATTATTAATTGTGCAAGCTGTCTCTACTTTGTAGCTTATAAAATCATCAATTTAACAAAAAATTGTTGTCTTTTTATGAAAAATACCGAATCATAAACATTAAGATCATTACGTGGCCAAGGTAAGCAGGGTTTAAACCGGTGCTTTCTTACAGGTTGCACTACTCTATGCCTTGTTCCTTTTTTTAAATATAGGAATGAAGAAAGTGGAGAAAGACTCCTGGAAAGAAGCCAGAATGTGAAACTGAGAGCGATAAATCGGCGGAAATCACTCCAACGTTGGAACGAGGGTCTGCTCGTTTTTTGAGGAATAGCAGACGTCCCATGAAACCCTTTCGGCCTGGAAAGTGAATGAATAACGCAGTCGGAAATAGCCCGAAGTACGAGTGAGGACTCCGGGCCACGGGCCAGGACGACATGGCCGAGGGCCACAGGGCCCCAGAGAAAAGAAATTACCCGCGAGGCCGCTAATTGCTCCATCTCCTCTTTGTTTTTCCGCCTGTTCCTGTTAAAAATATCGCTTAACCCGCGAAATCCCCGTGCCAAGTGTTTCGGACAAGGTCGAGGTCTGGATTTACGAATGTGGCATTCTTTTCATTTTCTATCGACAGGTTTTTATCATTGAAGTAGAACCGAGATACAGGACGACCTTTACAATAGCCTTAACGTCCATCATCGTGACGTTTATCGCAGGATTTTCGAACTAATTTATCCTAATGTTTACCTTCGACCTCTTAATATAGTTATACTCATCTGACCTTAATCCCTTGATATAGGAATTTTTGGGGAAAATTTTTATTGCGACAGAATATTCGAAACCGACTAAACTGGCTTTATTTTTATTTTGGACTATTATACATCAGAAGAACATTGATGTATATTTAAATAAAGTGATATTCTTCACATAATTAAATATATAAACCCACACGTTATTTATACAAAATCTATCAAATTTAATTTAAATCTAACAACATTCACTCATATTCACATTTTGATAATGACGATTTGATTAAATTACAATTATTTTTTTTAAATTCTTTCAATCACACAATCCTGCACATGTCTACTTTTGCTTTCATATTTAAACTTACAAGTATTACATGAGAAAACATTCATTCATTCATTTTCTCATTCGTTGAACAAAACTTTCAATTGCACAAACATTCACTCACTAGCTTATTGGTTAATGATAAATTCATTAACGTTCACTTACTTCTTCTCAACTTACCTTGTGTTTTTCACAATCATTCACACATTTTGCAATCGTTTATTATTCATATTTCATCTAATAACATTCACATGTTCCCTACTGCCTAATAACAAAAAAAGTATCTATTTTCTTAGTCTCTTTAAAACTATTGACTCAATCATTTTTCCCTTCGTAACTATCTCATTCACGGCCTCCCTATTTCGTTATATTATTTCTAACCAACATTCTCATTTCAAAGAACATTCACAAATTTATTTTATTTCTGATAAATTCATGCACTTCCGCGATTTTGTAACCTATCTATCTCAGTACAAATCAGTTACTCATTCACTAAGCTATCATTATCCATAATTTCACAAATATTTAATAAAAAATTACTTTCTTACTTTCATTTAAACAATTCTATCAATCATTCTTTCCTTTCATAAATTATTAGTTCATTCTTCTACGTTTTAGTTCATTATATTATTTCTAACCAACCTTCTCACTTCAAAGAACATTCACAAATTTTTTTATTATTGATAAATTCATTCACTTTCGCGAATTTTTCACCTTAATATCTCAATATAAATCAGTCACTCATTCACTAATCTATCATTATTCATAATTTCACAAATATTTAATAAAAAAGTACTTTCTTAGTTTCATTTAAACAATTCTATCAACCACTCTTCCCTTCATAAATCACTAGTTCATTCTTCTACGCTTTAATTCATTATATTAGTTTCAACCAACCTTCTCACTTCAAAGAACATTCACAAAATTTTTGATTATTGATAAATTCATTCACTTTCGCGATTTTTTCACCTTAATATCTCAATATAAATCAGTCACTCATTCACTAATCTATCATTATTCATAATTTCACAAATATTTAATAAAAAAGTATTTTCTTAGTTTCATTTAAACAGTCTATCAATCACTCTCTCCTTTCATAAATTACTAGTTCATTCTTTTACGCTTTAGTTCATTATATTATTTCTAACCCACCTTCTCACCTCAAAGAACATTCACAAATTTATTTTATTGC